GAATGTTTCGGTTTTCTCGGACGGGAAACTTTAGTTTTGATGGCAATTCCATATTTCTGGGCATTTTACCATTTTTGAGAGACAATTTTTTTCACTTTGTCTATTACTGGACACCGCCCGAATTATACGTGAATGAATCTATTATTTAACAACTTGGTCATTTTCACCTATATATGCATGTACATTTCTGAACACCAAATTTTAGTATAAAAGTCGTACCTTATAGACAAAAAATTATAACAATTATGTACGCTGAATTCTTGCAGGTTCTTGTGAAACTATTATTTGTTGACCTTGGCCTCAATACCCATAGGAAAAAAGTCGTTATATGATAGATTCTTTTTCTATAAAAGAAACGAAAATCTGACTGTTCTTAGCACTTAACTATTATAAATCTATACACATTAAGTATAAAGGGGATCTCATTCGGTTTAAGTTTAAAAAACTCTTAAATGAATTGGATGAGAGTTTTTTACCATAAAATGAGAAATGAATCATCGATAAAAATAATTAAGTATTACTATCATTGAATAATTATGATTTTCGATACCGAAGAGTGGGAGAAATGGCCAATCTGGCGGCGCCTTGTTAATAACTTCGAAAGAATAAAAAATTTTAGGTGTAATATGTTTTGTATATTTTTGTATTTGTATGTTTTGAGGTATCAATAATATTAGAAAATACGTGATTTTCGACAACCAAACACTTTTTTATTGGTGCTGGTTTACTGTGTCAAATTAAAAAAAGGGTGCGTTTTGACTTTGACATTGTACCTAAAAAACGCAAAAAATCAAAAAATTGTAAAAACCTGCACCTAATTTTTTATGTTGACATAGACAATAGATCATACTAAAAAACGAACAAAATACCGGGGCAAATCTTGTCGAATCTACCCAACTTTCATTCCACAGAAGATTGGGTTACACATACTAAAACACTTTATCAGAGAGGGCATTTTGTACCACGACTAAACACTAAAACCTATAAGCACAGGCCACAAACATATTTTTTTTTTTTAACACATACCTAAAAATTTCAATTAAACCACTGATCCAAATAGAAAGTTAGAAAAATAAAATTTTTTTCTGTAAACAAACTTTTTACTGCAAAAAAGCCGAAAATAATTAATGCACTTGCTGAAAATATGTCTGAACGCTCGCAGCAGGGCAAATATTGAATAAAACAAAATAAAAAGAGCAAGAAATTTGGCGGGATTCGAAAATTTAAAATTTCACTAAAACGCCGCCAAATTGACCATTTCTTCTTCCACTGTGTACCGGTTCAACTATTTGACGTGAAAATCGGCTTTGTCATTATTTCAGCTGATTCCACTCAAAATGACTTATTGGAGATTGTTGCTCTCAAAAATGTTCACTAAAACTGTAATTCGCTAAGTAGGGCCAAAAATCTTTACGTATGGGTTTTGAGACATGAGAAAGGTGACGAAGTAAAGGTTTGACAGTGGAATACATACGTTGAGCAAAAGACCACCAAAGCCTAAATAGCGTTCTGGCAATGTAAAAAGGTCTATGGTAAAACGTGGGGTCTGTCACTTAGAGAAATGCTCTGGATTTAAACCTGTATGAAAATACTCATAATCGGATTTGCATCTGTGGTGTTGTGGAGCAGACTCAATCAATATCGTATGAAATCTGCTTGCCAAGCTTCCAAGATCGATGGCAGTGCACTGTACGGGAGCTTCTCCTACACAAAGCTGGGCGATAAGAATTACATGTGTAATTGATTGCGTGTAGGACTACGATTACTTTAATCGCAATTTCAAAAATGTTTAAATTAGGATTGCGGTAATCGTTCAAAGAAGGCACTAAGATTACGATTACAGTAATCGTAATTTTAACTTTTTTTAAATTACGATTACTGTAATCATAATCTAAGTTCGTTCGATGAAGGATTACGGTAATCGCAATCTTATTTTTTTAGCTTGTTGGGATTACTGCAATCCTAATCGTTAATAATCGTAATCCTTATCGCCCAGCTCTGCTCCTACATATAATGGTCACTTAATACTATTATGCGTGGGAAGGTCCTTAAGACCACCTGTAAGTTTAAAAGAAATAGATATTGGTATGACACAGTGTGGAGAGAGGTGGAACTTGCTGCAGCCGGAGATTTTGACTTGAATATAGTACGCCACCGTTGCTTTTGCTGAAAAGATACTACAATGTTGAGTTTCCTGTTGCTGAGTGCTAGCTTACACATTGCAGAATCTTTACTGATGGCTGAATCAGGATCTGGCGTCTACACTTCGGCTGAGGTATATCCAATCCTCAAGGCCATGGTCTACGTGGGAGAAAGTAGGTCTTCAGTGGCAGCAAAGCTGCGCTTAAGGCATTGGCCAGCCCTCTAACTAATTCCAAGCTAGTTTGGCAATGCAAGTCTCGACTGATGATGTTGGAAAACGCAGTGAAATTTTTTGACGTAGAATACGTCTTACCTTAAGGTATGGGGGCTATGTTCAAATGTTGTAGTTGTAATTTTTAGAGCTTCACAAAAACGCTTATTGCACGAGAACTAATAAAGCGATTTCAAAGAAAAGGGTGGCGTTTCAAAGATAAAATTCCAAACCTGTCGACAGATTCATTTTTGTAAATAACGAATTCGGTTTCTGTCGTAAAAACAACGGTAAACATTGCCTTATTTTGGGGTCAATTTTGAGCCTTTAAAGTGCTCTAGCAACTTATTGTTAGCATATATAACTTTCATTTTCGGGATATAGGTTCTTTGGAGCAGTAGAAATATTATCGGGTACAAATTTTATATAAATTTAACAAATATTGAGCATTTTAAGGCAAAAAATTGTTGAAAAAATTTGCAAATTTTTTTCATTTAATCAAAAATTCAAGAGTTTTCCTTTCGTTTGGTATATGGGAAGTATTGGTTGATATCTTCTATATATGTTTATTTTATTCAAATATATGGGCATAAATGATTTTCCATACAAAATCACCTCGTCATCATTTTGCAAACACGTGCATATGTTGGAAGTGTGGGAAGGAGACAAAAAGTATGTATGCGTATGTAATGCGGCTTTTGATAAACAGAGGCGCGCTATTTATAACCTAATCGCAGCGTGTGTACATATGTAAATACATACATACGTACATATGTTGATTGCAGTTAATGTGGATCTGTTTCTATTTTTAGTAATCTATGTATGTCTATACATACATATGTACATACATATTATATATGTACATACATATATGAACACATGTATGCATAATACGCGAAGACTTTTCGAAGTGAAACAACATTTAGAAAAAGTCCAATCCAAGAATAAAAGTAAAGGTGAGGACGTACATAGATAAAGAAAAGGATAAAGGCCAAGGTAAAAATAAACACAAAAACAAAGTTGAGTAAAGATAAAGGCAAGCATGAAGACCAAGGTAAATTTAAACACTTTACTTATATGTATAAGTGCAAAGGTGAAGGGGAATATGTATTTGAAGAATATGATAAACATAAAAATAAAAACAAAGATAAATATAAAGAAAAAGATGCGGATGAGGATACCGATAAAAGTATAGATGAAGATAGAGGAAGAAAGATTCAAATAAAGGTAGTTGTAGAGAAAAGGATATAGATAAAGGCACAGAGACTCAATCTCGGAACTATTTCGGGATTTTAGGGATTCTCGGGACTTATCGATATAATCGATATTTTGTTGGTTTTTTTATCGATTTTGTTATCGAAATTTTTATCGATATTGTTATTGATTTTGCTATCGATATTTTTGGAACTTATCGATATAATGATCGATTTTGTTATCTCTTTATTATCGATTTTATTATCGATTTTGTTATCGATATTTTTATCGATTTTGTTATCGATATTTTTATTGGTTTTGTTATCGATATTTTTATCGATTTTGTTATCGATTTTGCTAACGATTTTGTTATCGATATTTTTATAGATTTTGTTATCGATATTTTCAGAACTTATCGATATAATGATCGATTTTGTTATTTATTTTGCTATCGATATTTTCACTTATCGATATAATGATCGATATTTTTATCGATTTTGTTATAGACATTTTAATCGATTTTGTCATCGGTTTTGTTATCGATATTTTTATCGATTTTGTTATCGATACTTTCGGAACTTATCGATATAATGATCGATTTTGTTATTTATTTTTCTATCGATATTTTCGGAACTTATCGATATAATGATCGATATTTTTATCGATTTTGTTATCGACACTTTAATCGATTTTGTTATCGATTTTATTATAGATTATTTATCAATTTTGTTATCGATATTTTTATCGATTTTGATATCGATATTTTTATCGGCTTTGTTATCGATATTTTTATCGTTTTTGCTATCGATATTATAATCGACTTTGTTACCGATATTTTTATCGATTTTGTTGTCGATATTTTTATCGATATTTTTATTGGTTTTGTTACCAACATTTTTATCGATTTTTCTATTGATATTGTTATCAATAACCATACCACGTATTCTACGTTTAAATATAGCGGCTGTATCTCCAATACAGCCTGCAGACCAAGACGAAGGCGCTGGACTGTGCCTTTTTTTTTACCATGGGTTCCAGGTCCCTCGGTAGTATCCGGTAATGAGCCATGTAACCATTTGGCTCGGTCCACAACCAGTTACAGCACTCCCACTTTCGGCCATCGAAGCCACCGCCAAAAACCGGGTGAAGACTCTCTTGAGGTAATTTCTCTTATCGTCGTTCACCGCTAGGCTAACCTTTGTTGGCTCAATCTATGCACGGATAGTTCAGACTTGTTTCAAGCTTCCCAGCCTTGAAGATAATGCACTCAAGCTAAATAAAAAAATGTTTAATAATACACAAAGTTTGGTTTCCAACGGCTCGGAGAAATTTTCCCAATTTGAACGAAGGTGTACTCGACATCGCCTCGCTTAACTGCACTTAACTGATTAGTTTTAAATGAAAATTACAATTAAAGCAAGCATACTAACATTAACCTTCTCTCTCATTACAGATTCAACATTTTGCATATCTACAAGACATCAACCGCAATCGCCCGAAGTCTACTTCCGCCGCTACGGAACTGACCGGTAAAACACATTCAGCGCAACAATCGAAGAAAGGTTTCAAGTCAGGACGTGCTCATGCACCTGCTTCACAGTATCGTGGCAATGCGGAAGAGGCCGAACAACAATATGCTATTGCCATACAGCCACCCAATCCAACAGCCGCGCAGGCGCCACATTATGGAGCGCCACCACAACAGATCGCGCCACGTTATCATATTGCGGTGCCAGTACAGCAACAGCAACAATTAGCACCCGCAGGCCAACCTAGCGCACCACAACAACCCTATCAAATTATACCCGAAGAGGAGTTCCTAAGACTTTTGGAAGATGAGCTGCGTGCACGTGCTTTTCACGAAGCCCAATATCGTCAACAGCAGCAGCAGCAGCAAACTGCACCAGCACCGTTACCCACTAAACCCTTGCCACATCCTACTGAACGCATCGGTCAAGGTTTAGGCAGCTACCGTCAACAAGCGCAGCTACAGCCTCAATCGCTTGCCGAAGAGCCAACACCCCAATATGTGCAGTATGTGCCACGCCACCGCAGTGGACCTAAGTATCTGCCGCAGCCCCAGCCTCAACTGCAGCCGCAACAAGTTGAGCCACAAGCAGCCGAACCGGCGGCAGAGGCACCAACACACATACCACCTCAGCTAGCCTACTATCAACCGCAAGTGAGTTACAAAACATTGCCAAATCATCCGCTTGCCAAGTCATCATTGGAGAATGAAATTGAAAAGCTGCTAGCCGCAAATAAACCTTCGCCAATTCAGCTAACGGATAATTCCAATGAACCATCTGCTGTAGTGCATCAGCACCACCAACCACCACAGCAGCAGTTGCCGCCACATCCCATACCGCGCCCGCGTCAATATGCAGTGCAGCAGAAAATTTATTCGTCACCAAGCAACTCACAACCGACACCCACACCGCTGGTAGATGCGAACAATCAGCCATTTATACCCTCTTTGTTTAGATTTAGCAACTTACAACAGCCAACACCCATTTATCCTACACAAGTGCCACAACACGTTGTCGACTCCAAGAAATTGGGACCAGTTATCTATCCACCAACTCAAGCGCCCACGCCTGCACAACAGTCACAACAGCCCACGCAATACTTCTATCAGGAACTGACACCTACGGCCAGACCCAAAACTCACCGCTCGAATAAGTACGGCTCAAAAGTTTCTACTTCTTCTCCGAAATTGCGCGAGAAGGAGCCGCCAAATTACCCGAATGTACCCGCCGCGGCTAAATACCTTAACCCACATTTGTATTACGATTACGACCGACAACCCAGTGGTCAGAGCTCGCCTGCGCAATTCCATCCCAGCCCTCCAGATCCAAACACCCCCACGGCTGAACAACAACAACAACCACAACTTCAGCATCAGCAGCAAGTCCAGGCACATCATTACTCAGCTCCAGCGCCCGCACCACCACCACAAACACACTCAGGCCGGCAATACATTTCCCCACCACCAGCACCATCGCAATCGAGCATTTTTGTCGCGCAAGGCACAGGCATCGCTACACCATCGCGTAGCAATGCGGTCAAGACGAAGTCCATCGAAGACGTACGTCAATTACATTTGCCACAACCAGGCGGCAAGCCGCTTACACAAAGTGAATTTCAAGCTCTGATCGATGCTGGCTACCCAGTTACGGCTGTACCCGTGCCAATACCTGTACCTTACGAGCAGTATATCAAAGAACATCCAGAATTCCGCAATCAACCAGTGGACTATGCGCAACTGATGCAACGTATAGCGCAGCAATATGGTCCACGTAGATTACTGCAAGCTCAACCCTCTGAACCATCAGCAAATGTTGCGTCCGCGATGGCAGATGCACAAACTGCGACGGCTATCGGTGGTGGAAATATAACCTACCTGCGCCCAGTTGCCGAACAAAAAAGGCATCCACGTGATGAGGCGGAAACGGCTGTAGCTGGAAATACGGATGAAGCCAAACAATAATGTGCGAATACATTTACAAATGTAACAATAGCTTTTAACTGTATTTTATCGTCGAATTGTCGAACAAACGAAGAATCTAGTATAGTCCCAGAACATGCACGGCATCAAGCCAAGGCGAGCCGGAAATTTAAAAATGTTTAGCAACAATGAAAAAACAACTAAAGTGGGTCATAATTCGAATTGCAAGTAGTAAAAAAATCTAAAGACACTCCATGAAAAAGTCATTACACACTTTGCAGGTTTTGCAAGTAGTTCAGGCTTTGTAGGCTTTCCAGGCCTAAGCTTTCTTCAAAAAAATTTACCGGTGTTCTTTGTATCATATCATATGTCTTGACCCTCTAGATTTTTTAGCGATTCATTCAGCTATAAGATTGGTAAGACACGAAAAGCACTGAATACTTAGTACGAAGCTCTAAATGTGTTTTCGATAGCTGAAATTACATATACAGGGTGTGCTAGACCACCCGTCACTCCCTCTAAAATGGAAGGAAATATTTTTTGTTGAAAAACGCAAAAATATGGCTTACCTAATCAAGGTGCTCTATCTTTTGGTTGTATTACCGACTTTCAATTTCGACTGGGGGTGGGTTAAACTAACCAGAAGTCCTTTTTTTAATTAAACGTACATGTTTTTACTACAGAACCTAGTTCTAAGGATAAAAATATATAACTTTTGTTTGAAACTTTTTTCTCGTAAGTGCCTTTTTCAACCTCTAAATGACCTTCAAACAGCAACTCGCCCTGGAAAACGAAAGAAAAACATATATGGATGCTCTATCTTTTGGTTGTATTACCGACTTTGGGTTTATACCAATTTACAGACTGGAAGTACTTTTATGCGCAGAATCGGAATCTGGGATTAAAGCATGTGGGATATGCATATTTTTACCACATATTCGGTTTTAAAAAAGTAGACTTCCGGTCAGTTCATCCCACTTCCGGTCGTAACCGGCAGATGGAGCATCCCCGATTTGTTAGGTTTTTTTCGTATTTCAATAAAAACCATTTCCCTCCATTTTAGAGAGGGTGGACGGGTGGTCTAGGACACACTGTAGATTCATAACTAGCAGTCGATCAACAATTTCGCTATTGGATCTCTGAATCTTGACGAAATTACCCCGTTTGAGGCCACTTTTGAGGCACAGCAGTGGTGTTGTTTAAAAGAAAGACTTGAAAATTACTTAGGATTGAATCCTTACTAATTTTTGTGGAATCTACTTTTTATTTTCATACATATATTGGGCTTCATGCAAGTGAGCTTAAGCTCCGATTCAATTTTCAGTGCAAATTCTTGAGCTTAAGCTCACTCCATCAGTGCAAAAGTTGAGTCTGAGCTTAGGCACACGTTTTATGCATGATGTCGATTGCCGTAAACCTAGGTTAGGTTGGGTTAGGTTGAAGTAGCTGCCAGTGACCCCACTAGCAGACCTAGACCCTTAGCTTGTGGCCCCGTTGTGATACCGCGCGGATCATTAGAATCCTTCGTATGCCTACCTCAGCTATGTAGGTTAAGTCTTTTAATAATCCTGTACCCGTGGCATTCGTCTCTTTCTACAAAGTGTGTGGTATTAGCATAACAGGTGGCCTTCGTCAACTCTGCAGCTTCAGCAGAATTAGTTATGGGGGACCTCTAACCTCTCCGCATGCCTTCCGATGGCTAGATGGCTCGTTAGCAAACCTGTCTTAAACCTAACTTAATTCGGTGTTCAAAGACTTCGTTCGCATTTTGAACTTTGATCAATCGTTAAGATCGAAAGAGTTTGGGTCTAACCGTGGAAAACTCAAATTTATATTTATGAACAATATATAAATTTACGCAGTTCATTTCCTGGACTAGTAAAGTTGCGAGTCTTTCAAGGATTTCGGTAATTTTCTCTCTTTTAGCCCCGAAAGAATTCAACTTTTCCTAATTATTAGCCTTATCATTGCTTAAGTCGTAAATTATGCTAAATTGTACGACTCGACAACAGTAGCATTGTTTATTGTCGTAATGAAATAAGTAAACGACCAAAATCGTCGAAAACTATACAGTGCTGCCAAGTTTTTCCATTTTAATACACTAGTCGAGTGGAAATTTTAGGCAATGACCGCTTTGGGACTAGTCGTGATTATTTTGGGGCTAATAATGGGCCATTTCACGACCGTTTCGAGGCATGCTCGGGACTATTTTGGTATCGTTTCGAAGCTGTTTCAGGACCATTTTGGGACTAGTACAGGCCCATTTCGGGTCTGGTTCAGGACTATTTTCGGACTAGTAATGGGCCATTTCAGGACCGTTTCATAACTTATTCGAAATCCTTTCGGGTCAAGTTCATTACTTTTTCAGAACCACTGTAAGACTACTTCCGGATAATTTTGAGACTAGTTCGAGAAAATTAGAACCTAGTCACGAAATGATTTTGAAAGAAGTTATGAAAAAGTCGTGTACTGGTACCGACAAAATGAATAAAATGGAATGAAATTTATGTTTACTTTGAAACTTAATCAATTTATGTATGTAACGAAATCGCCTAATGCCTTGCCATATAGTGAAGTTAACTTCAACTAACCCCCAATTATCAATTTTCATACGATAGACGATAAGCGCTTGCAGGCGTATCGTGTGAAATCAGATCTCGTACTATCATTTTCATACGTCCGACAGATGTATTGTTGTGAATGGATGTGGTTTTTGTTCACTTCATTGTGAATCAGCACAAATCCGTTACGCTAACCATCGGATTTCATACGACAAATAGATTCATAATGGAAAATAACAGAATGCAAGGGTTTATCAAGCATCGCACGAATTCATAATAGGGGGGTAAACAAACCCACTATTCAAAACTGGTCTACCCATTCATTAGAAAAAAATCATCAATATTTAATATTCAAACATTGATACAATAAAATAGAATTAAACGTACGGAATATTGCGCAACGGCCCACTTGCTATTAAATAAGTTTCAGTTGGCACTGTAATGCACATTTATTTATAATTATGTAATTATATGTATGTAATTTTTAATTTTAAATATCATAGAGTACGCGTATATTTCGAAACAAACGAAACACTATGACGTTCAAGTAAAACCTATGCAGCATTTGAAAATGAATAGTAGAGAATTTATAAAAAAAAATCATACATAGACATATATATCCATACATTCATTTTTGCAATGCATTTTACGAAAACGTAGTTCAAATTTTATTAAAGTTATTATTATACATATATGTATATGTATGTATATTGTAAAAAATGCTGCTAGAAAACTTTAAGCTCTCAACAAACTTGTTGCGTGTAATATTAGCAAATTACTGAATGTATATAAAAGTAAATTGTATAAAAAATAATTATTATATTGTAGTGTGCTTATGTAAAATTTAGCGTTGGTGGATTGCTATTTGAATTGCTACTATCTGCTGAACTGAGTGTTTCAGGCGTAGCTTCTTTAGCTTGGATGCGCGATATGTTGGGATCTTTTTTATCCTTGCGCTCACGTTCCTTGTCACGCTCCTTCTCCTTGTTGTGCTTGTGCTTATGCTTGTGTTTGTGCTTCTTTTTGTCTTTCTTTTTCTTTTTTTGCTACAGACACAAAAAAAAAATTAAAGAAATCAAAAGTGCAAACACAGTCGTATGAATTAATGCCATCGTATACCTTTGATGAGATTTCCGCCTTATGTCTGCTTTCGGCGTCGGTTTTACTTGCCTCAAAACTGCTATCTGCTTTTGTTATAGTCGTCTCGCCAATATCGATAATTGTTACAGAATTGTCATCCTCTTCGAAGATTTCACTCTTCAAACGTTTCGGCTCAGGTGAGTGCACAGATGTATCAGCTTCTTGCTCAACATTAACTTTTATTTCATTTTCGTATGACTCCACTTTAATTGCATTATCCTCAACCAGAGTTACTTCTTCGCTTGTTTCCAGTTTGATAATTTCATTGCCTACTTCAAACGACTCGGTAGCTGTGCGTTTCAGTGATGTTATAGTGGTCTTCTCTTCGACAATATCAACCACTTCGTCTTTCTCTTCTTTTATTGGAGGCGGCGTTACAGTGACGTCGTTAATAGAGCCAGTGCTGATTGGAGTGTTGGTTTTCTTGGTACCTTCTTTAATGATTTCTTTGTACATGTTGCTGACATCGGCCGATTGTAAGCACAAGGGACGTTTTGTGCCATATAGCGCATGATATAAATCCACCATATCACAACGTAATTTCGTATCGAACGCCAGTTTGTTGCTGCAAGTAAGAAGTGATATTTGATATTTCAATAAATTGTATATACACATGTACTAAGTATGTAAGAATAAAAAAAACACTTACTTCATATTTGACCACAATCGCTCTACCAACTCTGACCGATCTAAGCGGCTACTACGTGACTCACGCGTAAATGGTGGATTGTCGATTAGTAATTGTGCAAGCGCATGCCGTGCAGCTGGGTCGGGATCTGTTTCAAGCAGTGTAATCAAATGATCTAAATCTTCCCAACGACCATCTACTTTTACGAAATCCACTAAACACTCCATAGCCGCTATACGTAAGTCAAGATATTGGCCATAAGCAGCATAGCAGCGATAGATTTTCGGCAGCGAAGGCAAGTGGCCACATTTTTGTAGTTTTCGTATCACTTTAAGACAAGAAACAGATACCATATATTTGTATGAAGGTAAGTTCTTTTCCATATTGAGTAGACGAGTGACCTCTTCAAGTACGAGTCTATAAATATTTACGGTATTTTTACAAAATAATTTTATAAATATTAGTTTTTATACTTGGCATCTGCGGAAAGACTATCCGAAGTAATTGGTGTGCCACGTAGAGCGACGGAAACAACAGGTGTTATGGAATTTCCTAAGGCATCAACTAAAGCAGCGCGATAGTAAACATCTGAGTAGTGATTACGCGTGTTATCATTGTATTTAAAGAGATCCAGGAGAAAGCGTATGACTTCGGGTGGACAAATACCATGCGAAGTGCGTAGGCCTAAACAAGAAAGTCAAAAATTTGGGTGAAAGAGATTGTTTGCTGGATATTTTAATTAGAAACAAAAATAAGTCCCAAATCGTTGTCGCCAAAAAAAAAACATATACGCATGCTGCGAACTTCCGACTTAAAACCTTGACTCATTATCTACTTTTAAAATGTATCCTAAATACTCACCGGCCATTGCGACAGGTATAACTTTTTGTAAAAAGTATAACTGAAAATTGGCAAAATTATTCTGTTTAATTATATGGGGTGCACTAAATGAGCCGAAAAATTTCCTGAAGATATTCAACATTGCCGGTGGGCCACTCCATTGTGTCACCATTTGATTGGCCACTTTCGTAAGGCAATGTGCTGCCTCACAGCGCACTTTATAAAAACAACGTTCATTCTCAATCGTATCCGTTAGTGCAGAACGTGTTGCGTTTGTTGGATATTTCTCTAAGGCTTTTATAGCCTCAAACTGTGCCGTCACATCACGCTCATGGCGCAACTGATATTGCCACTGAAAATCGGGTTGTTCTATGTTTAGATCGCGTATTAAAATCATTTCTGGGTCTAGACGAATCCAAAGTACAGGTGAATCACTGTCAAATTAAAGATGCAATTTAGTAATTCCCCTTCTAAGTAGGTAAACAACTTTGGAAACCATATACTTACTCCATTGCAGAGAGATCCATATCGACTTCTTCTCCCGTACATAGTGGAATTTTTTTCTTTTTATTACGTCGGCTTTTCGAGTGACAAGTAATATCTGCCTTCACTACAGTATTTTCAATCTGTAGCATATGTTTGAATGTGCCGTCCAGTTCTTGTAGTTGTACCAGTAAGGGTCCATTATATTTACGGACGCCTCGTTGATTTACAAAATCTTGTCTTATCTCTAGTTCAATTGTGTTACGTTTGCGATTGAACACCGAAGTAAAAGAGAATTTCGCATGCCCACCAGTACGCACCCACTGATCCATGAAAACAGACATATCTTTGCCAGTTACAGTGAAAATAGCTTTGATAAAGATATTGGTGGAAATAAGCAAGTGATGCCATAAACCGGAGCCAATTTTTGTCACCGCTGCATTAGTAGCCAGCACCAGTTGTTTATTAAAAACCTGAGAGGAAAACATATTTAAAGAAACATACATATACATATATATATGCATATGAATGTATGTATATTATTTGAATTCCTGCAAATGCAAGTTGATTGTTTAGATTTTACGATCGTATGAGGGAAAATTGAACGTTGAAACGGCTTTTTTGTCTTTATTGGAAATTATAAAACAAAAACAAACAGAAAACTCACTTGTATAAGTAACTCTTGTCCGATGCGGTGTTCCAACATTCGTATAACCAAATGAGCCTTACGCCTCATTGCTTCGACATATTTAGGCGAAACCGTATGTAAACTTTTGATAGGAAAATAATGCACGATTTCTGTTTGTTTGCTAGTCGCACTTGCAGGATTCGTACTTGACACTGGTAGTGGAGCCGGTGGCTGACTACAATCAAGAATAATTCCACCATACTGCTCTTCATAGCGCACTACACGCGCCAATTCCGATTGAACCCATTCCCGATACTCATTGTTTCCAAAACACTTTCGTGAATACAGGCCACATAAATATTCAGCAATGCCTTTAGCCAACCAAGTATCAGACCAATGATGTGATGTAATGAAACAGCCAAAAAACTGTTCTGCTATGGCACGCGACATTAATGTACGCGTTATATAAGTTTGATCGATGACAGCAATGGAATGCATGAGATGCACAGAAGCTATGCTCAACGTGGCATAAGCACTGATATCTGTATCAAGCTCGTCTACAAAAACTTGTTTGTAGCAGGAGAAAGGATAACGCGTGGATAGCGTTTCTTCAAAAAACTCAAATGCTTCGTGCAAGTAGCGCACTGTATTTTTCAAAAGTGGTAAGAGCTGTGGTAGACAAAAATGTGTGACCTCATGCATGTGTGGATCGACGTAGATCTCAAAGGGGCCTACAGCAAGTGCGATATTTGGAGCACATACAGGTGTTGTTAGCGAATAGTGAAATGTTTTACGCCTCAAATCTGGTGTCATAACAACTTCGATTAATTCACCGCAAGACACAGCAGTTAAGTGTTTGTCCACAGTAAATTCGAGTTTCCAAGTGCAAGGATCTGCGAAACTATCGACACAAGGAAACCATAAACGCGTCGAATTCTCATATGCATACGTGAACATATGTGCACTATTGGGCAGTATTTCATCCTCACTTGTTGGTGGAATGACGAAATGTATGCCTCCTTGAGGGTCCTCCATCGAGAATTCTATTCCTATTCGCAAACCGCGGCCTTCTTGGATCATGTGATAACCCTCTGGTGGAATTTGTATCAATAATTCGCCGGAGTTGACGTCTGGGTCTGTTTTCTGCGCGGCTGCTAAGTGATTTTTGGAATACACATCCAGTGAGCGTCTTAAAAGAAATTATTATTATTATTGTTATTAAAAAATTATTGAAAATTAATGTTAGGGGAGCTTAATACGATGATCCTACACTTTTGTATCTCCCTGACAGATATCCAAGAAGGGATCGAAGTAGAAAAACTCCGCCTCGCACACATCATTCAAAAGTATTCGATAAATGCGGCACTGCTTGGCATTCAACCTTATCAACCGCAAATTTTCTTTTGTAGGCACAATCGTTAACTCCACAGCACCCTGGAAAATAAGAAATAATCACAGTTCAAAACTATAGCGGATTACATATGAATTTGGCATTTCAGGGCTTTGTTGTACTGAAGCCCTCTATACGCTGGACGAATGCAAGAACAACAAAAACTTTACAAGCTACTCACTATTATGCTCTTCCGTTCGAAACTTATGCCCGTCAAGCTCACAATTTGATGCGCCGTGCATATATGAAAATAGAATAGTTAAAAACATTCTTAAATTAATGTTATTTATTTTTGTATTCCAGCACGCCGGCACCGGTCTACCGGCGTGTCTTCCACTCTGCTCAAGTTTCGTTTACACCTGCATTGGATAAATACTTATAATTTAAATGGCCGTGCGGGTACATCTTTAGATTCTTGCTTTGGTTCCTTATCCATTTTAACAATATTTTTTTTTTTTTGGGTTTTGGATTATTGGCCAGTTCCTAAGAGTTAGGACCGCATACTCCAGGTCGTTCCTCCATGTATGTTGTTCCTCCGTGTATGTTATCTCCTGACTGGTGTAGTTGTAGGTCGGTACGTATTACGAATTGATCGAAGGTGGAGGTTGGGACACTTTAGTCGACTTGTTGAAACGATTGCACTGGGCGTGCCGAAATTGCTTAGGCAGTTTGTAGTATGGGGTAACAATATTTTGATGGGTTTTTTTTAGGATTTTGGCATTTTACCCAACTGCAAAATTTTTACGCCAACTTGTTTATTTTGTTTTTTTTTTTTACGGCAGCACAACTGCCAAAATGTCAGCTGTTTACAGTGGTGGCGTGTAATAAGTTTAAGACACATTACAGTGGAAATTATAAGTATACTGTTTGCAGTATCGCTTAGGCGTTCTGCACACTGGTCGTTCAATGACAGTTGGCTTATCATTACAATCATGATTCAGCGATAACATGATGATTACACTTCCGCACACTCGTTCGTGATAATTCAATTCACTCGACGCCTAAATATTCGCTTACAGCAGGTAGCTTAGATTTTTCGGTTGAAATTTTTACAACTGCATGTTTACAACTATGAACTGTGCTGCAATTATTCCAGGCATAATTTTTCAATAATTTCCTTTGGTGTACTCCTGAGGTTTTTTTGTTTTGCTTGCATGGAGAGACTTTGTGCAATTTCGAGTATTTGATAGTTAAAACACTCAACTTTATTTAATTTTAATGCATACTAGGCGCGAGCTGCCAGGTTCTGTTATCAATATAATTAACACAAGCTTTTCCGCGTGGTTGCCTTTCAATAAGTAGAATAAACAAATATTCGCAAATAAATTGGATTTATTTTATAACTGACAACTAACGTACGCTTTTTGTTCTTTTCTCCAGTTTGATTTTGACTCTTTATTACAGCCAACAACTTTATGTGTATACATATTTACAAGCTGTCAAAATTTGGCGTAGTCCCACGAGCCAGGTAAAAACTATGGCATTCGTATTGACAACGAGAAATCTCAAAATTTTTGTTTGGTCTTTCTAAATTTTCTCTTTTTTATCAGTTGGCAAAGGCCCTCAGTGGCAGCCCTCCGAGCGTTGAGATAGTAATTTCATGTCAATTAGTAGAAAAGTTCCATGTTGAAAAAACTTTTTATTATGGCGAGAAAATTTTACATTTCTGCTGTGCCAATTCGTAACTTTTTACTGCTGGAGATTTTTGACAGTTGCTCTGGTGCAAAAGAAGTTGAGCAATTAAAATCAGAAATTATACAAAAAGACTTCTCTTTACTGACTTTTATTCTTCTAGAACTAAAAGCCATGCATTTATTAGACGCCTTAGTAATAAAATTAGAACAAAAAAGTTCTTCAAAACCGTCAGGCCGGGTTGAAAATTTTAATTCACCTCATAGTTAACAGAAATTTACAATCCGTAGTACTTTTCTATCAACTCGCAAATGCCGTTTGCACAAAAAAGGTTATGAAATGGGTTGTATTCAAATCGTTTAGAAAATGAGTCATTTATGTATACCATTTTATGTGGAATTATTCAATAAATTTCGTTTTACACTATACTTTTTGAAACTATTTGGAGTTAATAATTTTTGTTGCTTAAAAGCAACCCTGCGTGCTTGGATGGCGTGTGTACCAATAATTTCATCCCTAGCATATTCAGCCCCGAGGAGGGCAGTCGCTAAATTCACCGAAGGTTGTTTAAGCTGAAATTAGTCAAGAACGCAGATCGTATACTTAAACGCAGTCTGTATACGCAGAATTTTGTCGATTACTGGAGCCCTCAGTGTTGCTTACTACAGTGTTGCCGCTCATCAATGCCTTTTCATAAACTTACCTTTTCAACTACAATTTTTCGTGCTATAATAGATCGTAGCTAAATATAAACTACTTAGTTTTCAACAAAAAACTTTATTCAATAGTAAATTTCAAATATTTTAAACGTATTTTGAAAAGGAAATTATACCTTTTTTACCATTTGCGAAACTGACGAAGTGGCAACCATCTATAGAAGGAAGAAATCAGCTGACACGGAAAAATCTAAATTCCGCAGATTTCTGCGCTACGGGCTACAACTATAGAAAAATTCTGCGGTGTTGAGATTTCATTTACATGGCGCTCTGGTAAGACAGATCGTGTCAGCTGACTCGGGTTTACGTACCGGTAGGTTTACGTTCTTGACTAATTTCAGCTTCACTGGTTATATTGTGGTTTTTACGCACCAAAGAACGTAAATCTGTAAGAGGAGACAACACGTTATAATTGTAGCGAATGTGAACATCAGGAGCGTGCCTTCTCTTTTCATCCAATCACAAAATGTATTTGGGCAGAAGAGAAAGCACGCTTCTGATGTTTCCACTCGTTAAAATTATAACGTATTGTCTCTTCTTATAGATTTACGTTCTTTGGTGGAAACATCAGGAGCGTGCTTTCTCTTTTGCCCAAATGGAAAAATGCGCAAGATTATTTGTATGAAAATTGAGCACGAAAGTATGTTACTCATACGCCGCGTACACCTAACACGCTTTTCTGCTCATATTTCATACAAAAATTCTTTGCGCATTTTCATTTGACCACTCATTATTTCGTATTCATCCATCGATTTTCTTCATCAGTAACTTGATTTTTTTTTGTAACAGAACAGGCTTTAGTACAAATGCAAAAGTTTGGCACAGAACCCGTTATTATTTTAATTTTTATCTGTTAAATTTTGATTTTTTTCATTTTTTTACTAAAAAATAAGAAAAGCTGGAATGATTAATTAATTGGTCAGAAACTATAAGCCCTATCGGAAAGTGATGTATATACGATTTATGGAGAATTTCATTGGCCTTCATTTGCCGTATTTTATATTAAGATTTCAAAATTGGTTCGTAAGATATACGTGATTAAAAGGAACCAATTTTTGCTTTAAGCTGAATAACGGTAAATTGCAAATATCTCTAAAACCTATCCTTAGAAAAAAATAACCCGAATTTCGGAATCACAAAGCAATTCTACATAGCAATTGGATAGTGGCGTCTGGAGAACATTTTTGCTATAAACCAGCGTAATCAAATAATTAAAGAAGTTATTTGATAATTTTCATTATTCTACTATTTGTAAATGTTGGACTATCTTTAATTATTTGATTATTTTTGATTATTTTTTTAATGACAATTAATCACGATTTTTTTATTATTTTTAATTATAATTAATTATTTAATTGCTGGTTTATGTAAGAAAAATTATTGGTTACTAATCGTAATGCAAATTTAACAGCTCTGTTTCAAACTTGTACTTTATTATAAAATTTTATGGGCTATAAAACTGCATACCCAAAAAATTCTAAACTTAAAGTGTTAAATTTTTATGAAAATTTGACGATTTTTTTAGTTGTAACAAAGTTAGAAACTTTCCGTTTTATGGATTTTGCAGTAGTATGAACTATATTGTTATTAAAAATTAATAAAATTTAAATAAAACATATTTTCAAAATATGAAAAAAAATACTGTACGATTTCGATTGACAGTTACTGTACATATAGA